TGTATCTCTCTCTATCTCTATATCGGCCGACAAACTATATTGCCGGTGGGGATAAAAACCAGCCGGTGGCCTCTAGCCACTGCCGGTGGTGGGTGGGGATGGTCTACAAGCCCCACCCTGCCTCTCAAGGGCAAGATGCAAGTGTTTGGTGCAAAACCAGACACTAAACGGTCGAGTTCGGGGATCCTGAGGCAAGGCGCGCGAGCCGAGACGTCCGGGAACTCCAAACGAACACAAACATGGATAATCACCGAGTGTTCAAACGGTGACATCCAAGTCTTGAGGACGGTCAAAAATGGGGTGTCTACACCAGTAGATAAAGATAAACTCCCTAAAAGCTTTATCCTTATCCTGGCTAAGGTCCTCCCTCACTCTAGGACTTTTATCCCTTATCCATTCATCTCTGATTCTGGTATCTTCGCAGGTAACCTCAGCCTAGCCGAGATCACCTCGGTGCCAAGACCAAGACCCGTGGCACCTCGGCTGGCACTCGGTGCCACCTGGGCCACGTGTTGTCATTCAAAAAATATGCCCCCACAACTGCCCCCTAGGTTCTATTACCTCGGCTTCCTGAGGTGATGGAACCTATATCATTTGAACCGTCAGTATGTCGGCTAAGCTTGCTCTATCCTTCATTGCCGAGGTTATCACACATCGGCTCCAAACGTCCAAAACTTCAGTGTGTTTGCATTAATGCCTTAGAACCAAGAACCAAATTTTTTCAAGTTCTCTAGGCGAGATCATCCCCATAGCCAAGGTCTTTGCTTCATTAAATCAAGAACTCTAAGAGTTTCTACACGCGTATAAACTGTCACGCACATCAACTTAACCGTTTTCACCACGTGTCTCTTCCCTATTGAATCGTATATGACACGCACCATCAAGTTGCATCGCTTCTATGCACGCCGCCTAATAGACACGTTGTCCAATGCACACCAAATGCATTTTTGCCGCCTTTTTGTGTCGTAACAAAAAACACCTCCCTCTTTCTGTTTTTTCACCTTTACATCCTCCGTTTTCGTTCAAGCTCTCTCTCTCTCTAACTTTTTTTCCCAAATCCTCCATTTCTGTCTTCTTGAAGCTTTCTGCAACTACCTCGTTCACCTTCTCCGGTGAAGCTTTTACTGCTCTTCTTCGCCTACTGCCACCGTCTGACCCCGACGTACTTCACACCGGCTTCACTTTCTTCGGTGAGTTACTATTTTTTCCCCCTTTAGTTTCAAACTCTGTCGCTTTTGTTTATTGCCATGGTGAATCCATTCATGTTCTTCAGTCTTTGTCTGTGTTTCAAATTTCATCATGTTTGCCTGTGATTTTGCTTTCGTTCAATCTTTTTCCTGGGGATATGCACACACATACATACTTGTTATTTTGCCACTGTACTTGGCTTTGCACATCTACACACACTTCGTACAATGTTCTTGAATTTCTGTTTCTTTCTTGAGTCTGAATCACACTCTTTTTTTTGTTTCCTTGTTGCATTTTCCAGATTCTTGCCTTTAATTCTCTGCTTCCACATAGATTTAGGCTTGGGTTTTGGTAGAGAAATCACAAATTTAGGAAAACCAAAACAAACTCCCTTTGATCTTGGAAAACCCTTGCCCCATTTTCTGTTTTGGGTTTAGCCGAGGTCCTTTAAACCTTAACAAGCCACTTCCTTTGAAATCCAACACCTTCCCCACTTAGTCGACGTTATGGGTATGTTCAGGTGGAGGGTAGACACCCCAACTAAGCTAGAATACTTCAAGCAGGAGTTTGTCATTCCTGTCAATGTCCACCTTAGGTTGGCACGGGAGGAAGACTCCATCATGCCTGATGGAGACTTCATGCCTTTCCCAGTAGTAGCCTTTATTTAGTGTGGGCTTAGGTTCCCCCTTGACATCATCTTCTGCGAAATCCTTCACTATTACAAACTGAACCCAATGCAGCTTGCCATTAACTCTTACCGAGTCATAAACGGCATAATTGCCTCAGCCAAAACAGAGAACGTTAGGATAACCCTAGCCGATATCCAATACTGCTATACAATGCGTGACTTAAAGTTAGAAAAGGGCTACATATATTACCTTAAGCCGAGATCTACAGAGTACAAACTTGTCGTCAACTTCCCAGACTCCAACGAGGGTGCTGGAGACGATTATTTCATCGTCTCGGCCAACTAGGAATTCCCTCTAGAGGATGACCTTCACCTTTACCCTTTAAGCCGAACAGTGTTCAGAGAGGGAGATGGTAAGAGCCAAGTGTCACTTTTCTCGCTTTCAAGTCTTTATTACTGTTATTCCTCTTTATACGTTCTAATGGTTGTTGTTTACTTTGCAGCCCTTCCTCAACCACCCAAGGACTTTCGCAAGACATTCTTCCCCAATAAGGACTTCAAGAAGCTGCTGGACTTGCCTGTTAATCACCTGCTAGACATTCTTCCCCTGCTAGACATTCTGCTCCTGAACTACATCACCACCTACAAATCAACATTGCCCGACGTCCCTAAAAAGAGCAAGTCTCCACCCTCAACAACAACTCCTCAAGCCGAGTCATCATCAAGGCCAGACCAGGGATCAACCTTTGACCCAGCAAAATGGCCATCAACCTCTGCTCCACAACTGATTCCACGTTCTCAACGCAAACGCCGAAGTCGAGCTCCACTGTTCGCACCAGCAGGCAGGACCCGTAGCCGAAGACACCGAAGTGCTGAGGCGTCATCTTACGATCCAGCCAATCCTCCTATTGCCCTGCCAGCAATTCACTTCGGCACAAGAGTCACAGTTGCCACGACCTCCGACGAGATGGGATTCAAGAAGGCTGTTGCTGAAGACCTCTTAGCCGACATCCCTAATGTTGTCACGGTCTAGTCCTCACTTTCCCAGTCTCAACCCAAACCTAAGCCAAAGAGGGTGAAGAAAGCCCAAGCCAAGGCAACGGTATCTCAGATCGACTCTGAGGACACCTTAAAAGTGCCTCTGTCGCCGAAAAGAGGCCCGTAGAGGCTGAACCTTCCGAATCGACCAAGTCAAAGAAACCAAGGTCGGCGTCTGCTATAACCTTAGGGTCAGTGAAATCTAATGCCCCCTGGATCCCTTCAATCACAATCGAGGACAAGCTAGTCAGAGTCGATGACAGCGCGACTGACATTGAAGTCGGCGTTGCCCTCTCTACTGCCTTGCTCCTTCCCCAATACCTCGAACGCAATGCCGAGGTCAACGAATACGAGAATTTCGCTCTGTTGTTGTAGCACTCTGTACAGGCATAACACTTGGTACTCTCCAATCTCTGTTTTTCCATACTTAGAGAGTTTTATTAACTTTTGCTTTTTTTCCATTTCTTCTAGGTGATCCAGCATGCCCACTCCTTCGTGATGCAAGCCTTTGACATTAAGAAGGAGTTGGCCCGTAAGACCAAGGAAGCTGTTGGCTTGGTCAAATCGCTGAACAACACCAAGGCCAAGATAAGAGGGCTAATAGACAAGGCCAAGACAGCCAAGCAAGCTCAAGACGAGGCCAAAGAAAAGGCCGGGGCTGCAGAGGCTGTTGCTGAGGTCCTGAAGGTTGAGAAGAAAGAGGCTGAAGCTAAAACTGCCGAAGCCCAAGCCGAGCTCCTCGCTGCCTTGGCCACAATGGACGCCGAGATCAAAGCGGCAGACGAGAAGGCATATGCCGAGGGGGCAACCGACGTCCGTGAGGACTACAAAAAACAAGTCAGAGAGGCATGCAACAAGGGTTTCACCCTTGATTGGATGGCTGCTCTGAAGGAGTTGACTGTCCCGGAGGACTCTCCTCTTAGAGATGCAGGCAGACTTGAGCTGCCATTCCCATCTGCTTCAAGCCAATCTGAGGCTAAGGCTGGAGAGGAAGAAGAAAAGGAAGAAGGAGAGGAAGCTGAAGATGAAGAAGCCGAGGTGGTTGGTGCTGAAGATCCTGCTGGGGTTAAGTCCCCAACTCTGAATGAGCAAGTCCTAGACTTGACTCAGGATGAGGAGGACGAGGTCTCAAAAGGTGATTCCCCCCAGAAGACAACATCTGAGGTGCCAATCGTCGAGAAGAGCATCAATCAGACTCTACAAGAGATCGACGCCGAGCTCGAGGCTGAGAAGGCTGCCGAGAAGATTCTCCAGTTGTCTTCTGGGGCTGAGACAAAGCTTGCCACTGACGCCGAGTAGTCTTGCTATAATATTTTTCTTTGTACTTAGTACTTTCCTGAACAATGTTTTTTAGTTTTCATATTTGGCTGACGTGCCACTTTTGTAATCTGAACAAGTAATCCCTTTGTAGGCCAAAGTGCCCTTTTTCTTCCTTGAATGCAAGTACAACTTCTTCTTTCCAGTGTTTTGTATGCTTGTAAGCTCTACTGCTTCCATACTTAAAATATTTTGCATGTCTTCAGTTTATTATGCCTTTAGTTGTGCAGTCTCCTCGGATTAACATACCTTGGACATAACTTCCAATCTTGTTCATCTCGGCCTTGGCTTAACACTCGAAAATATTGTAAAAAAATATTTTCACAAGTGTTATTTAAAACTTGTCACTTTACTTCTACTTATCAAGACTTCTGTCTTTCATTATCTTCCAAGTCTTGGCAACCTGGTAACCTCGGCAAGTACGTAGATACTTCTTTCAACATAACCTTGGCTTAACTTCAACTTGTAAATGTTCCTTAAAACATTTCAACAAGTGTTAACATAACCTCATCTTAACTTCAACTTGTAAATTCTTCTTAAATTTTCAACAAATGTTAAACTAACTTTAGCTTGTAAATTCCAACTCCCAAGTATTATTCTTCAGCTCTCTGCCCCCTAATGTGAACTTAAGTTCCACTTGGGTTCTCATTAAGCATGTGGATATGACCTTGTCGTCGAAGTTTTGTTCAAACAGAGACTGGCCGAGGTTCTCAACCGTGGTTCCTCTATTAATCTAACTTAGTTCAACTCCATTATATGCAAGTGTAATTCAACTCTGCCATATATAATAAGTCTAAGTTATTCGTCATGTTTCAATCAGAAACATCGCCAACTTAGTTCAACTCTATTATATACAAGTGTAATTCAACTCTACCATATAATAAGTCTAAGTAATTTGTCATGTTTCAATTAGAATCATCGCCAACTTAGTTCAACTCTATTACATGCAAGTGTAATTCAACTCTGCCATATAATAAGTCTAAGTTATTCGTCGTGTTTCAATCAGAAACATCGCCTACTTAGCTCAACTCTATTATATGCAAGTATAATTCAACTCTTCCATATAATAAGTCTAAGTTATTCGTCATGTTTCAATTAGAAACATCGCCAAGGGTCTGGTCAATCGTTTTTCACAAGTTTGAAAAAATCGAGCTAAAATTTTATTATTTACTTCGACTAATAACAAAAAACTTTAATAAACAAAAAGAAATCTAATGATAGAAAAACTTTAGGTTACAAGTATTCGAGGGTCTTGGCAACTCTTTGCCTTTACTGTCTTCAAGCCAATATGCCCCATTGCCCAAGACCGAGATAATTCTATAAGGTCCCTCCCAATTTGGGCCAAGCTTGACCTCTCTGGGATCCTTCTTGTTGCTGATGACCTTTCTCAGGACGAGGTCACCAACTTGAAACTCTCTTGAGTTGACCTTTTTATTGTAAGCCCTGGCAAGCTGCTGCTGGTATGCCTCCAGCTGAATTGCTGCTTTCTCCCTTCTTTCTTCTAATAGATCTAGATCTCGGGCCAAGAGTGCCTCATTGGTCCCATTTTCTACTCCCTGGGTTCTGATCCCTAGGATGCCGACCTCCAGTGAAATAATTGCTTCTGTGCCATAAGCCATGGCGAATGGGGACTTCCCAATTGATCTTCTCGGCGTAGTCTAATATGCCCAAAGTACACTGGGCAACTCATCCACCCATTTTCCCTTTGTTGCTTCCAGCCTCTTCTTAATTCCATCCAAGATAGTTTTGTTGGATGCTTCTACTTGTCCATTGCTTTGGGGGAAGCTTGGAGTGGAATAGTAGTTCTTGATTTTGTACTTTGCACAGAAGCTCTTGATTAGTTTACTGTCAAACTGTATACCATTGTCTGCTATTATCGCCCTCGGGATCACAAACCTGGTGATTATGTTCTTCCATATGAAGTTCTTTACATCGATGTCCTGAATCTTTGCAAAGGGTTCAGCTTCTATCCACTTGGTGAAGTAATCTATTGCCACTAGCAGGAACTTCCTTTGTCCAGTTGCTTGAGGCAGTTGTCCAACAAGGTCCATGCCCCATTGGGCAAATGGCCAAGAGCTAGACACTGGGTTCAAATCCGCTGCTGGTTGGTGTATCAAAGGTGCAAACCTTTGACACTTCTCACACTTTCTGACAAAAGTTTCAGCATCTTTCTGCATATAAGGCCACCAATACCCCTGAGTAATGGCCCTATGAGCAAGTGACCTGCCCCCAGTGTGGCTTCCGCATACTCCATCATGTATCTTATACAGGAAGTCTTCAACTTGTGAAGGATGCACACACCTCAAAAGGGGACTGTAAATGATCTTCTGTAGAGATGCCCTTCTGCTGTCAGACTGAATCTTGCCAACTTCAGTCTGATCTTGTGTGCTTCTTTATGATCATCTGACAGTTTTCCATCTCTAAGGTACACTATTATCACATCCATCCATCTTGGTCCCATCTCCACACACATTGCATCATGCTCTGTGTTCAATGGTTCTACACTTGAACCTGACAAGTAGTCAACCATAATTGTACTTCCCTCTCATGGTTTCATTGCACTAGCCAGGTTGGCCAAGGCATCAGCATGGTTGGTGTCATCTCGGCTAACTTGCTGTAGTCGGAAAGTTTGGAATAATGTTATCAGTCTTCCCACCTCCTATACATAGGCCATCATCCTTTCATCTCGGGCTACATATTCGCTTGTTGCCTGGTTGACGATAAGCTGGGAGTCACAGAAGACCATAACCTTGTCGGCTTCCATTGCTGCTGCCAACTTTAATCTTGCGATCAGTGCTTCATACTTTGCTTTGTTGTTTGAGGCCTTAAACCCCAAATGAATGGATTGTTCCAGTATCTGTCCATCCGGCGATACTAGCACTACTCCTACCCTCGCTCCTTGTCTGTTTGAACTTCCATCAACAAACAGGTGGAAGGAGTCATCGACGTAAATACTACGGGGCCTGAGTTTCTCTTATTTCCTCTGTTCGGTTATCCCCAGTTGGGTTTCTCCTTGTTCACCTGGACATCGTGTACCTCGGCTCAACAGAGCCCAATGTATGATGGCACCTGGTGTGAACTCTGCCACGAAGTTAGCTAAAACTTGGCCTTTGATTACTGTTCTAGGTCTGAATTCCAGGTCATATTGGCCCAACACCACTGCCCATCTGGCTATCCTACCTATCAGATCTCCTTGCTGTAATAGGAATTTCAAAGCATGCTCAGTTAACACCACAATCTTGTGGGCTTGAAAGTAATGATTCAGCTTCTTGGAGGCCATTACTAAAGCCAGTGTTAGCTTCTCCAAGGGTAGGTATCTGGTCTCTGTATCTGCTAGGGTTTTACTCACGTAGTAAATTGCCCTCTGTTCTCCCTTTTCTTCTCTGATTACCACTGCATTCACTGCATGTTCTGAAACTGCCAAGTATAGGAATAGCTCCTCTCCAGGCACTGGATTTGAGAGAATTGGAGCTGTGGTCAAGTATTTCTTCAAGTCGGCCAAGGCGGCTTCGCATTCTTCTGTCCGTAAGAAGTCTGTGGCTTTCTTCACTAAACTAAAGAAAGGTTTGCATTTGCGAGAACTTCTGCTTATGAATTTATTTAGGGCTGCAGCCCTTCCAGTAAACATCTGCACTTGTTTTGCCGATGTTCGGCTCTTTAACTCCAAGATGGCCTTGATGTGATCTGGGCTTGCTTCAATGCCCTTTCTGGTGACCAAGTATCCCAGGAACTTTCCTTACCCAACTCCAAATGCGCACTTCGATGCATTGAGTCAGAGCCAAAATGTCCTTAGGATATCAAAGACTGTCTTTAGGTCGACCAGATGATCTTCAGGTTCCTTGGTCTTCACGACCATGTCATCAATGTATTCCTCCACAGTTTTGCCTATTAGATGTCTGAACATCTTTGTCACCAATCTCTGGTAGGTTGCTCCTGCATTCTTCAACCCAAAAGGCATTAATCTATAGCAATACAGCCCTTTTGAGGTGATAAATGCAGTCTTCTCCTCATCGAGGGGTACATGGCTATCTAATGGTACCCCGTGTAAGCATCCGAGAAGCTCATTCTTCCATACCCTGAAGTGGCATCCACCAATTGGTCAATATTGGAGAGTGGGAAACTGTCTTTGAGACAAGCCTTGTTCAGGCTGGTGAAGTCTACACAGACCCTCTACTTCCCATTCTTTTTCTTCACAACAACCATGTTTGATAGCCATGTTGGGTAGTTTACCTCTCGAATGGCTTTGGCCTCCAGAAGTTTATCCACTTCCTCTTTTACTACCTCAACATGTATCAATGTAGGCCTCCTTACTCACTGGATGACAAGTTTGGCCGACCTGTCCACATTCAGTCTATGGCAGGTGACCTCGGGGTCAATGCCAGGCATCTCGTATGGTGTCCAGGCAAACACCTCAATGTTTGCTCTCAAGAATGCCTCTAATTCCTTTTCCTCATCCTCGGCCAAGCCTAAGCAGAGAAGGAAGAAGCGCTCTTCATCCCCTTACGGGACTAAGATCTTCTTCAGGGCTTCCTCAGTTTTCTCGACTGGCTCTTTGCCGACGTCCTCAAGGACCTCCATGTCCTCATCTTCAACCTCTGGTGTTTCTGCTTTTCGTATGTTGTAGGTGGATTTCATTACTGCTATGGAGCAATTCTTTGCCTGCACCTGATCTCCTCTGACCTCCTCAATTCCATGTTCTGTTGGGAACTGCAACAACTGGTGCAATGTTGAGGGAACAGCCCGTATTGCATGCAGTCATGCCTTCCCAGGATAGCATTGCAAGGGAAGGGGTGTCAATTATTGTGAACTCCGTTCTTACCTTCTTGGTACCAGCCTGCACCTCAAAACTTACTACTCCCAGGGGCTATGCATTCCATTGAACCCAATCATTGGACCATTGGATTGTTCTAGATCATCTTGGTAAAGGCCAAACTCCTTGTAACACCTGACATACATGATGTCACAAGAGCTGCCCTGGTCGA